TGGCTCGCGTGACGGACCCTGTGGGTGATGATAGTGCGAAGCCAAGGCTATGAATCTGTGTAGGAGCTCTCTAGAATAGGAAACAAGCGCGCTGGCAACGTAATCACGATACGATTATCTTTAGGTGTGCATTGCTTGGCCCAACTCGTACGTACACGCGCGGCTCCCGAGGCGCAAGGCGGAGGATCTCCAGGCCCATGTCCCTGCAGGAAATTGACGACGGCACGGGAGTGATGCATGAAGGCTGCAATGACATAGTGTGCGGTTGTTAAATTTGGCAACGTTCGTGATCGGTAGCAGTAGAGGTCATCGCAATTGATTAGACTATCCCCTTTTTTCACCTGTGGCAGGTAGAGCATGAGATTGCTTGCAGATTGGAAATATAGACCGGCATTGTGTTCTCCTGGTCTTGCTATTAGAAGTGCGGTAGTGTGCATCTTGCCTGAGTGGGACGGATGGTGGCGCCCCCACAATTGCCGTGTGTTGACGCAAAAGGCGCCATGAGAGGCCAGGCTCGAGGGCCGATAGCAACCGCGAAAGAGGCTCCAAATTGTCTTGGAAGTATTCGCAGCGAGTGGCATTGAGGCATCCCGCAGTACTGAGAGGCGCAACGGCTGCCACCACATCCCATGTTACTGCGCACCGCCTGCAGCAATGGACATGGCCTGCGTGTCCAGTTTAGCCAGCGTGCACGCGTCTCACTCCACGACTCCTCTACGCAACCCTCGGTGCGACGACACGTCCTATCACGTCACGCCTCCAAATCTCCTACCTGCCGCCCCAAATTGCGCGTCCTGTGCACGCAGACGACGACCAAAGGTGCCCAGTACCTCACCATCCCGTTGCATACAGCGCCTCTCCGCAATTGGTCGACGACCGTCCATCGCAAACCACTCTTTTCCCCTTCCACCATGACGGGCGCCACGCAGAAAAGAGGCCACGCCGGTCATCACCACCATAACCACGACAACACCTTTCTCTTGTCCAAGAACAAGAATGACGCCGGCGTGCGCATTACCAAGATTGGCCTCTACGTCAACCTGGGCATGGCTGTCAGCAAGGGCTTCGGAGGCTACGTCTTCAATAGTCAGGGTGAGATGGCTAGGCGCGTTGATACGAACGTCTACTAACGCCTGCCAGCACTCATCGCCGACGCCATCCACAGCCTCACCGACCTCGTGAGCGACATCATGACGCTGGCAACAGTCGGCTGGTCCCTTAAGCCCCCTACGGACCGCTTTCCCAGCGGGTATGGAAAGGTGGAGAGTCTGGGCTCGCTCGGTGTCAGTGGCATCTTGCTCGCAGGCGGTTTCTTCATGGGCTGGACCGCGCTGCTTGCCCTCTGCAAGCAGTTCTTCCCCGAAGCCGCCGAGGTAGCGGAGCAATGGGGGCTTATACCACACCACCACCACCACGGCATCGACGACTTGGGCCCCAACATCAATGCTATATGGCTTGCTGCTGGCTCAATCGTCATCAAGGAATGGCTCTACAGAGCGAGTAAGAACACCCATAATAACGTAGCAAATGCCAGCTGACAGTCACTCCAGCCCTCAAGATCGCCAAAGAGCGCAAATCGACGGTCCTCGCCTCCAACGCCTACCACCACCGCGTCGACTCCCTTACTGCCTTCGTCGCTCTCCTCCTCATCGCCGGCTCCAACGTCCTCAACAATGCAAAGTGGCTAGACCCTATCGGGGGGCTTGTCATCTCGCTCATGGTTGTCCAAGCTGGTTGGGGAAACACCAAGCAAGCGCTACTCGAACTGGCAGACGTCGGCGTGGACCAGGAGATGAAGGACAACGTGCGGAAAGCAGCGACTGACGCTGTCAAGGATGTCACTACCGCATCAGAGCCAGTCAATGTGCGAGCGATTCAGGGTGTCAAAGCTGGCCAGAACTACCTCATGGATATCGAGATTGGCGTCTCTGGCACCTGGACTGTTGACCAGACACGCGACGTCGAGAACGCAATCCGGGACCGCGTCGGTGTCAATGTGCGCGGCGTAAAAAAGGTGCGCGTGCGCTTTGTAACCAACTCGGCGCAAGCACCAGACTTTCTCGACGAGTTCATCCCTGGCGACTCTACTGCGGCGGCGAGCCAAAAATCTGAGGCAGAACATGACCACGACCACGGCCACGATCACGATCACGATCACGAAACTACCGATGGTAACGCAAGACGAAGGAAATGATTGGTGTACACCTATAGACAAGCATAGCTAGGCGTTCTGGAGTTGGGCAATGCAACTACCCGGCGGCATATGCGAGACATCGGACACTTGTATATATTCTGAATATCCATCACCTGAATTCAACCCCGGCCCACGCTCTAGACTCGTACTTCCCCACGCTAACGAAATTCCTTAGCTGGCATCGGCGTTTGGCCGAGATGCAACTCCAAAAAGTCACAGCCGTACTCACGATGTCTCGGCACGAATTTATCCGCCATCCAATAATCCCACGCCAAAGTACTGGCGCTTCTGCAGGCACCGCCGGCAAAATTGCCTGTGATGTAGCGCGTCCGTCAATGTGGGTCTTGCGTAAGTGTGCCGTAGCCGTATCGTGGATGTGAGGCAGGGACCTCTAACACTACGAGATATGGTCTGCTTAGCCATGTCTCGTCAACATAACACCCTAACATTATCCTCACAGCTCGAAACCGCACTGACACACTTCGACCATGGCTGATCAGTTCTTGGGCTTCGATTTGAGCACTCAGCAACTCAAAGGTGCGAATACCCCGCTAGAGCTACCCCACCATCTTGTCTTCCAGCTTGGACTGACGCTGCCGTGTTCTAGGTATCATCGTCGGTTCCGATCTCAAACTTATCCACGAAGCCAAAGTCGATTTCGATGCCGATCTCTCCAAATATGGCATCGAGAAGGGTGTCCTCACAAACCCTGCTGAGGGCGAGGTTTTCGCGCCCGTCGCCCTGTGGCTCGAAGCCATTGATCTTGTCCTGCATCGATTGAAGGAGCAGGGTGCCGACTTCTCCAAGATCCAGGGTATCTCGGGTGCGGGTATGCAACATGGTACCGTGTTCTGGAGCAACGATGCAGAGACACTACTTGGCAGTATGGATGCTGGAAAGACACTGCTCGAGCAGCTGGAAGGCGGTGCCAAGGGCGAGAGGAAGGGTGCCTTCAGCCACCCCTTCAGTCCAAACTGGCAGGACGCAAGTACACAGAAGCAGTGCGAAGCTTTTGATGCGACACTGCAAGAACCGAGGAACCTGGCCCTAGCTACTGGAAGTAGCGCCCATCATGTAAGTTTCCAGCACTCTCCAAGACTTTGTCAATGCTAACACCATACAGCGCTTCAGTGGCCCTCAGATCCTTCGCTTCCACGACAAATACCCCGAAGCCTACAAAGCGACCGCTCGCATCTCCCTCGTATCCTCTTTCCTCGCTTCCGTCTTTCTCGGCAAAGTCGCCCCCATCGATATCGGAGACGTATGCGGAGCCAACCTGTGGGACATCAAGAATGGTCGCTGGCATGAGGATCTTCTTGCGCTCGCAGCTGGAGGGAGTGACGGCGTCGAGGACCTCAAGAAGAAGCTCGGAGGTGTTCCGGAAGATGGTGGCTCAAGCTTCGGTACCGTCTCGCCATACTTCAGCAAGCGCTATGGGTTCCCATCGTCGGCTCAGGTCATTGCGTTCACTGGTGACAACCCATCGACCATCCTTGCCCTTCCTCTACGCGCGTCCGACGCCATCGTCTCGCTAGGGACCTCAACAACATTCCTTATGTCTACACCCCAGTATAGGCCCGACCCAGCATACCATTTCATGAATCACCCCACCACAGCAGGCCTCTACATGTTCATGCTCTGCTACAAGAATGGTGGTCTAGCACGCGAGCACATCCGCGACGCCATCAACAAAGCCTCAGGCTCATCCGACAAGTCCTGGGACAAGTTCAATGAGACAGCCCTCACAACTCCTGCACTTGGCCAAGCCCAACCCTCCGACCCTATGCGTCTAGGTCTCTTCTTCCCCCGACCAGAAATTGTACCAAACGTCAAGGCAGGAACATGGCGATTCCTTTCCAAAGATAATCAGCTCTCGCCCATAGCACCAGAAGGTGCTCAAGGCAAGACAGAGGACAAATCCTGGCCCGTTCCCCAAGCCGACGCCCGTGCAATCCTCGAATCGCAGTTCCTGTCATTGAGATTGCGCTCTCAGTCCCTTGTCGAACCCCAGGGCTCCCTCCCTGCGCAACCCCGCAGAATTTACATGGTTGGCGGTGGTGCCGTGAACCCCGCCATCGCCGAACTTGCCGGTCAAGTTCTTGGTGGCTCTGACGGTGTATACAAGCTTGAGATTGGAGGAAATGCTTGCGCTCTTGGAGCCGCGTACAAAGCTGCCTGGGGCGTACAACGTTCGTCTCCACAGGAGAAGTTTGAAGATTTCCTTGAGGCGCGGTGGAATGAGGAGGGCTTTGTCAAGAAGATCTGTGAGGGCTACAGGAAGGGTGTCTTTGAACAGTATGGCGATGCACTCAAGGCTTTCGATGAGGTAGAGAAGGTAGCACTCAGGGAGAAGGGTGAGGCCGAGAAAACGGATGCTACCAAAGAGGCTATGGGGCTGCAGGGTCTTGATAGCCAAAGATAAGATGACGGTAGTGTGAGATATTCTGGAATGTCACTTGATTTCTTGGGCGCACATCTCTCAAAAACGAATGTCTTGGCTGATCGACCATCTGAAAACACGATTGTGTTTTTCGTTTGACGGGCATACGCTGACCTAGGAAAAAGCTAAACACTCTAGAGCCTACGTTAACGTTAGGCTACTTACCTTGCAGGTCTTTGTCTTAATGTAGTCTGCAGGCCTGTTTAGTTCTTTTCCTGTATGAGGTGGGCATGTGACGGCGCGCAAACGTCGTTACGACACTTGACGTAACCTCCAACACTCCAGCTCCACATTATCAAACTTATCACTTCTCCACTTGCCGCCAACACCACCAGCATTCGCGCATACCGCTTCAAGCATTGAAATATGTCTGGACATACCGAAAACCACATTGTATGCGTTGGTGCCATCTACATCGATACCATATTGACGTATGTATCAGCACTCTGCAACAACCCCAAGAACCAAAAGCTTACTAAATTTCGAGTGTTCAGAGTCCCACACTTCCCCATAGAAGATGAGAAACTACGCGCCAAAGCTCTCACGCGAAGAAGAGGAGGAAATACGGCAAATAGTCTAGAAGTGTTATCGCAGCTGCAACAACACGACCCTGAAGGAGCACGTCTCAACCCCACAAATCTACATCTGCTGGCTGTACTCCCTGAGGAGCAATCTGCGGCTTCTCAGTTCATATCTACATCGCTTCCTGGGGTGAACATATCCGATGTGAGCCTCTTCCGCAACCAGCACCAAGAAGCTGCATCAAGCTACATCATCCAAAGCGAAGAGAAACGCTCACGCACAATCGTCAGCATCAACCAGCTCCCCGAGATGCAAGCCGAAGAATTCATACACCAAGTCCGCAGATTCAGTACGGAACAAGGACATACGTGGAAGAAAGCGTGGTTCCATTTCGAAGGCCGTGTCCCAGAGATCACACTGCAGTGTGTCCGCTTCCTGCGCGAAACGTTCCCTCATTTCAAGATTAGCGTCGAGTGCGAGAAGCCTGAACGGACGGGTATGGCTGAGGTGGCGCAGTACGCAGATGTAGTGATTTACTCGAAATTGTGGGCCGTGAAGAATGGGTATGAGGATGCGAGAAGCTTTCTTGAAGCCAGACGGAGTGAAACGAGAGATGGGGCTCTACTGTGTTGCACATGGGGATCTGGAGGTGCTACGGCGGTTGAAAAGGGGGGCGAGGAGGTTTGGGCGGATGTCGAGGCGTGGCAGGTAGATGGGGAGGATGGGGCAAGGGTTGTGGATACGATTGGTGCTGGGGATACTTTTATTGCGGGGATGCTTTTTGCGGTTAATGAGCATGAGGAGTGGGGGTTGCATAGGAAACTGGAGTTTGCGAATGAGTTGGCTGGGCGGAAGGTTGGGCAGGAGGGGTTTGGGGGTCTGGGGAGGAAGATGTGGTAGCTGGTGAGAGTTATTGCATTATTTGCTTTGCAATCGCTCTTGCCTATACAATGAGCATGCGAGCTAGTTTGACAGCAAGCAGCCACTTTATGCCCTCTTACAGCTTTCGAAGCGACTATCTCTCGATCCGGTCACAATGCGATGATTGGTCAAGGCGAGTTGCTGTGGCTGCATGAAACGCCATGCACGCATTTGCCCAGCTGAGGCCAAGCGGGATGGGCTGGTTGCGATAAGCGGTTGCCTGGCATCTCGACCCTACCTGACCTATACAAACCTAATCAATCCTACGTCGACGTACGCCCATGTGTCCGTAAATATCTGAGGCAAGCGCAACTATATAATGTCCGGTCTCGAGGTCGTCGCTCTGGTGGTGGGGATCGTCAGTGCCTTCAGCGGAACAGCATCGTTCCTCAGAGAACTAAAGAAGAAAAAGAAAGATGAAAGTTCTCACAAATCTGTACGCATGCAGCGACTACAAAAGGCTGTGGAGCTAGCACCACCGGAGATCCAACAAGAATACGACGATGACTTTGCCAGAATCGGACGGCGATTTGCTGTAGGTGACGGTGAGACTCCCATATTGCAAGCATCATGATCGCTCTACTGACCATACAATGGCGAAAAGACATCTGCAGAACTGAGCTCACCAGCGTCATGATAAAGATGCAACAGGACATGATCGAGAAACTCCAGACCCTGTTATTGTCTACTTCTTCGCCAGACAAGACCATCGACTACGATGCGATCTTCGACACTTCCACCCAAGCAAGACTGAACTCGATCTCCGCTCTAGCCCAACAGTATCAACGATTCAGCACTGCGTCTCCTATCGTCAGAATTCCCCACAGTGTCTCGATAGCACCCAACAATAGGCCGGAGTATTGCGCTGGTGCACTTGCCCTACAGAATGGAACCTCTCGCATCTCAATCGATTGGAAATGTGCTCCGTGTGGATACTCCATGCTACCTTGGGAGCCCACTCCACTCAAAGGGAAGGCAAAACCGCTAAATCCGCCTGCTTGGGCCGTCGGTTGCGCAGGCATGAGTTGGGTGTTTTCTTACGCACAGCATCTTCCTATCGATGACACCAACAGAACTCCATCTGGCAGACGCGGGGTATATAGGCGATGCATTATTTGTTGGGCTGTAGAAGGAGTTGTGTCGAGGAAACTCCGTAAAGAAGAATGGCTAGCACACATGAACGAGCATTTTACGTCTGGTGGCTATGAAATGTGTCGCAATAAAGATGGGAAACAACAGAGGAAGAGGAAATGCGAAGACCAGACATGTAAGAAGATTCATTCCGTGGACTGATGCCTGGCTGCGATGGAGCAGCAGTTTGAAGAAGAAGAAGGATGAATAGTATGTAGATACGCAAAAAGTAAAGTTACGCACAGCAAAGCACGCATCAACGTACGTAATTGACAGCGCTAGAGCTTTTGGTGTCTTGTGTTCCCAGAAAGCGACTTGCAGGAATTAGTTCGAATCGCTCGAGACAGATCATGACGCTTCCAAATCATGGACTGGGACAATGCGTTCGAGACCAGATCTTCAATTCAGTTCCAATCATTGGTCGGTTGAGGCGGACTAGATCGACGACGCAGGCGGGAAAGGGTCTCCCGGAGCAGCTTCCGACCACCCATCGCACGCGTGCATCTCGAAGAACTGGAATCATTGACGCGCTACCCCGCATTATCTTGAGCTATCGTGCCCGGAACGAAACATGGAGAAAAGCAGATGTCGGCGAGGCGGAAGCTAGATGCAGCTGCGGGGTGACCACGGGGACTGTGTTGGTGACTTAAGAAGGTTGCCGTCCATTCAGCAGCATACGGCGGAACAAAGAGTTCATACACTACCAACAATTCATCAGCATGAGTGGAACCAAGATCGAAACATGCCCCATGGGGTACCACCGAATTCAAAACATCCACAACGGCAAAGTAGCGAGTGGTACGGTCAAAGCTGGTGGACAAGACAAGAAGGCTACTGGTGAATACATCAAGTGGGATGCGCCGGGTGTTGAGAACATTCCAGACGATGAGCAAGAGAAGATCAAGGAGGTTTCTGCTCAGTTCAATCGTTTCCAGATGATGAACTTCAATGAGCATATGCATTGTTTGAGGGGCACGCATTTGAAGACTCAGGGTGTAAGTATTTCCTGAGGCTTCTCGAGATAAACGTTACTGATAGCATGGGTAGTGCGTTATGGGCAAATTCACGGTGCACGACAATCTACCTAAACATCTCGCCCAAGGAATGTTCGCAAAGCCCGGTACCTACGATGTAATCATGCGGTACTCGTCTCTAACGCCCAAGATCTTGCCCGACAACCTGGCAGCGCCACGCGGCATTGGCATGAAGGTCTTTGGTATCGAGGGCGAGAAGTTATGGGGAGAAGACAAGAAGACGCAAGACTGGACCTTCAACAACTACCCGGTATTGGAGCTGCGTGATCCCCAAACCACATACGATATTGCAGACGCACTGGAGCGAAACTGGAACGACTTGCCTACCTTTGCAGACGAGCAGAGCAAACGCGTTGATGCCGACGTAGCAACACTCGGCGGACAACTGCCGAAACAACACATGGTTGCTATGCCCGAGTACTCACAATCAGCCTACCGCCACGGAGCCTACGTAGCCAAATACGGTGTCTTCCCCAATAGCAAGTTCCAAAAGGACCTTGAGAACACCGAAGTCAAAGACTCAGACCCCATCAATATCCTCTCGCAGACCCTTCGCACACACCACCTCAACAACACTATAACCTACAGCTTCTGCGCGCAACTCTTGCAGGACCTCACCGAACAGCCCGTCGACGACATTGGCATCGAATGGGACCCCAAGAAATATCCATTTGAACAAATCGCTACCATTGAGTTCCCGCCGCAGGACTCGTGGCTACCTGAGTTTAGGACGTGGTGGGATGATCGCATCACGGTGAACAGCTGGCATGGATTGAAGGAGCACCAACCGCTTGGAAGCACCAACCGAATGCGCAGGGTAGTTTACGCCGAGAGTAGGAAGTTGAGGCTGAAGGTTAATGGGTATAAGGAAGAAGACTATGTGGAGCCCGCGGGGCTTGGTGATATTCCTGGAAAGGGTGTGGAGGCGCCGCAGTTGGACTTGAAGTATCAGAGTGCTATTACTACTGCCGAGGTTGCATGATTGAGAAACTTAAGGTAGCTAGATGTAGGTTGTGGAACGGAATTGCTTTTCTTAGATGTATTTGTGTAAGGTTTCGGATGTATGCGCGTCCCCTGGGTGAAGTCTGTCTGATGCGTGAATAAGTCCGAAATGTCATTGAAGCTGCTAAACTAATGTGTCTAGTAATAAGTGCAGTTGGAATACATGCAGCTTACAGGTAGGAAGTGACAAGGTACCTAGGTAGGTGCGACTTCCGCAAGTGGCGGCTCCCCGCACATGCGCATGCTAAGTACCTGCAGCTAACTCACTGGGCCAACAGCAACAACAACAACGATTAGTTCACTCTACAAGAATACATGAGCCATATTTCGCTTCGTGCTTGCGAGACTGTGAGTGAGCTACAGCTGTCAAACATGCGAATCCCTTCTTTATCTTTACTGACATGTGGAGCAGTCTACATCTCAACTCTAACCACAGCTGCAAGCATCGTCACCATCTTCCCTCATATCAGAATGTCGTCTAGCGAAAGAATGGTGAGTGCTTTTAAGTGAAAGAAGAGCTATCTGGCGCTACAATGCTGTCACTGAACAAGACATACTAACGTGACAAAGGCGTATCCCTACGGCAAGCCATACTCAACGCCCTCGAATGGTACACAACATGACGAGAACAAACTATGGATGCAGATACAATATGAAGCATACAAAGATGGTATCGACCTAACAGTATTGCCTTTTGCCAAAGAAGCTATTGCGAGCATCGCTTCGCTAGCGAGTAGCATGGTGAATGTGAAGGAATTTGACTTCTCGACCTCAAAGAGGGTCGATACGCATACACAGTAAGCTCAAATGCTACACAACACAGTGCCAAAGACGCACGTTTGTGTGCCGATGTACTGACAAATCTTATAGCCCCATCCCAGACTGGTTCCGAGCCCTCGAATTGAACGCTGCAGGCCGCGCAACGCCGTCTTGGAACGTATCGTCCCACCTCATATTCATGAGTGAACACCACATCGCTCATTCTGTACTCTGCGTCTCCACACCCCAGGCCAACGCCTTCTTGACTGAAAGAGACGAAGAGTTGAGAAAGAAGAAGACAGTTGCCCTTGCGCGTTTACTCAACTCCTTTACAGCAGAACTTTGCAGGATCTATCCAGAGAGATTTAGTTGGTTGGCCATTATGCCGTTACCACATGTGGAAGAATCGATTACGGAGTTGAAGCGCGTGTTTGGAATGGTGGGGAAACAGCCAGTGGGTGTTGGTGTGCTAACAAACCACGAGGGGATGTACCCGGGAGACGAGACTTTCGATCCATTGTGGGAGTACCTACAAGAGAGATCCGCAAAGATGGGAAGCGATGGGAGGGAGGTCGTCTTTGTGCATCCAACAGAGCCCATCATCAAGCTCGACGATGGCCGATTGATAAATTCTCGACCATGTGAGTTCTCTTTTCCCAAACCCGGTCCCCCAAACGACCAAGAGCTAGAGCGAGCTGACAACATGCCACAGCACCTCTTCG